CGCGGGTCTCGCGGGCGCCGGGGGGGGGGGGGGGGCGTCAGTTTATCAGAGAAAATGGAGTTACACTTTAAACACTCTGGATGGAGCCATTACAACAAACCTGCCGATGTTCTTACCTTATAAGTCTGCCATTTTCAACATAATATTGCACTCGAAAATGGACGATCATTGGAGGACCGAACTGGTCAATTCCCTAAAAATAAAAACAAGAGAGACTCATTTGCTATTTACAGTCAATCTCCAGATTTCCAAGAAGCCATTTTAACATACATCAATGAAATGTTTATTTTTATATATGCGGCATTATACCGCTTCCTTAATGGTTGAACAGGATGTTGAAGTATCTATGACATCCCATGAGAAATGTTCCAACAGTTGTATGGGTTGAACATTGCAAAGGGATCGTTCACACTCATTTCTGGTTTAAAGCTCCACTTTAAAATATTTGGATAGAGCAGGGAAGGGACCTCTGTCAAGATTTATTATGTGGTCTGTGTCCCCGCTGATATTCCCACACTTCCTGTTCCAAAAGAGACTTGTTACCAGGACAGGAAGTGATCAGGAATCTCTCCACCGGGGACACAGATTGCAACAAAAAACACTTGTTTTTTTGTGTAGATAAATAGCCAAAAGGTTCAGACCAGGGGTGAGCAACTCCGGCCCCTCAGCTGTTGTGGGACAACAAGTCCCATGAGGCATTGCAAGACTGACTGTTACAGGCATGACTCCCGGAAGCAAAGGCATGTTGGGATTAGTAGTTAAAGCACAGCTGGAGGGTCGGAGTTGCCCACCCCTGGATTAGAGCCTCTGACAATTATTACCGGCTTCTTGTCTCAGTGGCATCCACACCCCTTATTTCTTATCCTGCTGTCACAGGGACAGGAAGTGAAGTATAATCTCCCCAATGGGGTCACGTACAGCAACTAGAACTTGACAGTCACAACAGTATTTAGTTTTCCCAAGTCTATCCTAAACCCACACATGAAAAACAAACATTGGAATGGAGTTGGATAAATGAGAAGAGCAATTTATACATTTCAAACTCTTCATATCTGGAAAAACAAGGGCAGGACCGGCCTTCCCTAACCTCCTCCTTGGCTGTATAATACACTTTTGCTGAACTGTGGGGGGTGCAGTTTAAAGAAAAATATAGGGGCTTCCACTGCCAACCTCCTTCTGAAAATGTTACTTGCCTGGCTTCCATACTGAGTCAGGTCAGGAAAATCAATGTAAAGTTGCAAATCGTTATCTGTATCCTTGTTTGGAAACAGTGACCACCGGCCAGCTAATGAAAGCGTCCCCAGATGACCATTTACCCCGAAGCCGCTCCTCTTCCCTGGCTATGCAGCTGCCCGCCCTTGCCGACGTCACCCAGTACAATGCAGGGCCAGCTGTCCTGCACTGTGTGCTTTAGCTTTACAGAATGGAAGAGGATCGGCATGACAGGCAACTAGTATATGCAGAATGCGAGGTGAGCTATGGTAGGCTCCATGTTGCTCTTGGGCAGGTGTAAATTTAAAGTGTGCTTGGTCAACACAGGGTACTTTAACTTGTCCCACCTCACCAGCATAAACTTGCCTTTGTTTTACTCCCAGCCACTCTGTTCTCTGAACAACTGGTGTAAGCTATGAGTTGCTGGAGTTGTAGCTTACACAGAGCTATGGCATCCCTGTGTGACAGCACTGATTGGCCCAGAGGTCAATCAGTGCTCCTTCATACCTGGAAGGCATTGCCTTCCGTCCCAGATCCTGTTGGGGGAACAGTGGAAAGGTAAATATCTACTGCTGGGGATGAGGATGCTATGAATGAATGGGTTTGCTTTAGGGTTGAATAAGGAAATGGAAAACTATATCCTGACGCAGGAAGTAAAATGGTGATCACATCAACCAGAAGCAATTTTTTTCTATATAGATGGAGTCTTGTGGGCGGAGTCATAATGGGGATTAAATGTCCTGGCCATAGTTCCTAGCTCTGTTCCCACCAACCCTAAAGTCTCACACCTCCTACAGCGCAATGGGTATTACCTCTCCTCCAGGTGTAGAAGCTTGGAACCCCACAGCAGAGGGCCCCCACCATACCCAACAGACGCCTCCCCACTGTAGCCAACAGACAGCATCCGAGTGTCCGCAGCATCCCCAAGAGGACTGAGCCTTTAAGTAATATTTTACACTTCGAGTATCTTAAGAACAGCGGAGGCTAAAAACCATGAAGGCCCTCCATGGACAGACAGTGCCAACTGCGTGGCCTCATATTCAAGCTTGTGTAACAAGTCAGTAATTCCTGCATGTTTCAAAGCCAACAGCTGATCGCAATCCCTCCACGAGGATCCCACCCTTGTAACATGCTCCGGCGACCCGTGACAGTTGTTGGGGAATGGAACCGTTGCTTTGAGAAACATAGGATGACCTCAGGCTTCAAGCGCGCGGCACTCAACATTGTGCGGCCCCAGGATTAAATGACCTACAAATGTCTAAGTTATACGCGACGCGCGAATCGCACAGCCAAAGCTAGATCGCATGTATTCAGCTGTGGGCTCAACAGCATTGCTGAAATGTAAAATTACGATATGGAGGAGGCACAGTGTGAAGCCGGAATCACTAGGGGGAGCAGTTCCCCAGAACCCTGTAATTCAGTTCATAAAACAACAAACCTTCTGGCAAACAGATCAACTGCTAAAAGTAGAATTCTGGCTTTTATTGGCAGCAGCACCTTCTCCATTCCTGTTAATAAGGTGACTCGGTAGATCTGCTCATGATAAAATCAGTAAATAAAAAATGGAATCCATTGAACACATTGCCTCTAAAGTATAAAATGATTGGATACTGCCACGAGGATGAATATATATAATATATATGATGTTTTTAAAACATAAGAAAGCATTTTAAACAGGTGGCAAGCAGGTGGTGTTCCTTGTCCCATATGGCAGCTGTGCTAAAGATGGACTTGAATGGGGCACGCAATGGACAACAACCCCCTCCCTCTGCTAGCAGGGATGAGGAGTGTAGTGCTAAAAAGGGGTTCTAAAAAGGATGCATTGATAAGTCAGGTATGATCTTTTTGTTTTAATGATTACTATCTGATAACATCCACATCCAAAACAACCAATTAAATAAAATGGCGAAGCAGCAATTCAGCGTCATTTTCTTGCACATTCAAACCCTGAAGAAGCAGGGTTTGGTAATCCCCAAAATGTGTTGGCCATCAGTTTATTTTAAAGACAATAATTTGCACCTAGTCACCTCATTGGTTTATCCCTTCTTTTACAACTAACCTAGTCACCTCATTGGTTTATCCCTTCTTCTACAACTAACCTAGTCACCTCATTGGTTTATCCCTTCTTATACAACTAACCTAGTCACCTCATTGGTTTATCCCTTCTTATACAACTAACCTAGTCACCTCATTGGTTTAGCCCTTCTACAACTAACCTAGTCACCTCATTGGTTTATCCCTTCTTCTACAACTAACCTAGTCACGTCATTGGTTTATCCCTTCTTCTACAACTGACCTAGTCACCTCATTGGTTTATCCCTTCTTCTACAACTAACAGGGTCATTCACAAAAGGGTGAAGAGTTTGGAGAAGGTGGGAGAAGTGAATAATCTTGGACAACATAGCCGATATGGAAAAATTCTCCAATTCAGCTCAGTTTCCAGGTCGGCTATGTTGTCCTAGATTGTTCACTTCTCCGGCCTTCTCTAAACTCTTTACCCTTTTGTGAGTAACCCTGTAAAAGTCCAGCTCCAATACTCACCTCCACTCCATGCTGTCCCCTAAAGGCTCCCCATGCTCCCTGAATCAGTGATAGTCTTCTTCTGAGTGGACTGTTGCCCTGCATCATGCAGCCTCTTTCCTGTGAGCCCAGGTTGTCATGGACCCACCCCTGGGAGGTGCAGCATCAACCTGGGCTCACATTTTTCAGGACAGAGCAAGGTTCACATATCTTTGCTGTTCAGGAGGAAGTAACGCCGATCTGAGAGCCGCAGTGTATGGGGTTACAGAAGGGTAATTCCAAGAAATTAAAGTAGAACTGAAGCCAAAGCTGTTCTTCAGTTTCGGATAGAATAAGGGTGGGAGGGTTATAACCCCGTCAACTTTTTTTGTTTTTTTTGTGTACCATTGGGAAAAATTTCCCTTTACTTCCTGTCCCATAGCCACAACAGGAAGTGAGAGGAGATCCCTCCAAAGGGAGGGAAATGCCTGGTGGTCATCAGAACTAGTGTCCCCATTGGAAGACTTCCCACCTATTTCTGTTCTGGTGACAACCCAAAATTTATGATTTGCATTCACTTTCAGTTCTTTCAGAATTCACATGGGATCTGCCTATCGAACAGAAGAGGTTTCTTTTCGATCGTTTTCAGCAGCGAAATTCCTCATCAAACCGCAGCCAAGAAATGTGCAGAGCAAACGTGTTGGGTCATGTGACTTACCCTGCTGACCTCCTTCTTCCACTCCTTGGGGCAGTACTTGTACAGCTTCTGAGAAGGTTCCATGTACACATGTTCGTTGCCTGTAGAAAATACACAGAGGAAGGACAATTAGACTAAAGAGACCTCATAACTGAACACTGGAGACAATTCGGAACGACCCTTGAAGTGGGGCTCCCCAATGCAGGGGTAAAAATGCTCATTTTTGTTTAGGAGCCTAAACCTAGACGGCTCCCTGAAGCCTCTCTCCCCACTCCAGTAATGGAATGTCCCTCGGTGTCCTCACATCTAATATGCTGTATTGGATATGATTACACACGGCACCTTAGATCACTGGACCACTGGAGTCAAGGGGGAGACAGGCTGCAGGACGTGATGACACACGGGTCCTTAGACCACTGGGGTGAAGGGGGATACAGGCTGCAGGATGTGATGACACATGGGACCTTAGACCACTGGACCACTGGAGTGAAGAGGAAAACAGGCTGCAGGATGTAAAGACACACAGAACCTTATATCACTGGACTATTGGAGTGAAGGGGGAGACAGGCTGCAGGACGTGATGACACACAGGACCTTAGACCACTGGACCATTGGAGTGAAGGGGAGACAGGCTGCAGGGACTGGCCTAACAGCCAGCCGGCTGCGAGGTTCAAATGATTATAACTGTTATTTTTGCTCCTAGATGAAAAATGAGCACTTAACCCCACTGAGTAGGCTAAGATCATTTACAGCCAAATAGCAGATTAAAGCCAACTCGATAGAATGGTTTAATATTGTTTCATCAGAACAAAAAAACAGCAGGCACCACCATGCGAAGGAGAGTCCAAATTAGTTTTTATTGGTAAGAGTAAAACCATGAAAGTGCCCGTACATTTCGGGGGGCAAACAGACCCCCTTCATCAGGGTTCCAGTGTAATTCAAAATGGGAATCCCCTGGGGTATGGACTCCGATAGTAACTGCCTCACATTAACATTGTTAAATGGCAGCCGTAATGTGATAGGGGAACAACAGGGTGGATGTTCGAGCTGAAGTGACTTTACTCCTCTGTCCTGCCAATTGTTCATCTCAACTATGAAGAGCTATGTCCACTTCTCATCAGGCATGCTTTCCACTGTGTCAGATGCGTTTAGTCCCCTGCCACGCGCTGTGGATCCTTAACCTGACCCCTACAATGCTACAGGTAATTGTAATGATGTAGGGGTCAACGGAGGGAACCACATACACTCCTGGGAATGTTAAATACGAAGATTCTTCATAGCTTTTTAAAAGAATGAAAACCTAAGGATCCAAGGAACGGGTGTCTGACATTCTTCATTGGCCTTCACCATTTTAATGCACGTTGCAAGACTACTGATCCTACATTGAACATGATCACATAAGAGTGTGACCACCAGCTGGGGTGCCAAAGAGAAGTAGCTTGGGGGGACTGGCCGCTGGGCATGAGAAACCTGCTGAAGCAAAGAATAAGTTAAGCACCTAGACTTTTAACAAGCATTTAACCCTTGCAATGTGGAGGGGGCTGCAAATTTTTTTTTTTTTTTCATCCCAGAGTTTGGTTTTAAATTCTGCAAATACCAACGTTTACCTCTTGCTATTAATTAGACACAAAAGGGACTCTTATAAATATTGTGCTGTCGTTTGACTGAACATCACGCTTTTGCTACGCTGGCTTGTTTACTTAAGCAATTTGTTTCTCTCTGTAAATTAAGAAGAAAGAGCTCTGTGCTCTGGATGTCAATTCTGTTAGAAGGAATTTGCAGGCACAGGAATGCAAGTCCTGGAGGACACTACCATCAAGGCTGCTCCAGCTGTCTCCATTCCTCACACTGAGCTCAACGTGTTACATCAACACTGCCATTCAGAGGATGAACTGGAGGAAAGTGAAAACTTTCTACTTTCAAAACGATGGCCCGGAATGGGCTTTAGGGTACAAGAGTCATGAAAAGCCCACAAGAGACACTTTCAACGTGTATCAGAACCACCAAATTCTTCTGAATCGACAAAAAGCAGATAAATTATGCAAACTGATGAACAGTGAATTGTCAGGATTAATTACTTGATTCCATCTCTAAGTGATCACATCTAAAAATTGCCCAAAGATCTCATGCAGCCCAATTTGGGCATAATTTGCTAAATCAGGCAACCGTTGTGTAAAAAATATGGGCAAATTAAAAGTAAGCTTATATTGGGCAAACTAACAGGTTCAATTTAGTGTTCTGTCTTTTACACCCTCTTCACTTCCTCCAATCCACTGACATAACATTTTAAGGTCCTATTAAAGATTACACAGTTACCCCCATATGACAGCAAATGTGGCTGGCAATGGTTGGTAGGCCAGGGCAGGTAAGTCAATTACAGCAGATCAGGAGAGAGAGAGAGAGAGAGAGTGAGAGAGTAGTGTGCATCAGCAAGTACGGGTTCACTTTTTAAAAAAGCCATCAAACCTAGTATTGAAATTTAAAAAAAAAAAAGTTTTAACCCAAGTCTAGAAGGCCAAAATACATAAAGAGGTGAAATAGAAAATTTCTTACAATTTTAAGCCACGATAAGCAATGGAAAAAAATGCTACATTTGCTACACTGATCATGATTTAATTATTCTGCAGGAAATAAAATTAAATAAAATTAAAAAATTGTCACAACTTTGTAATGTACAAATTGGTGTCCATAGTGTTGGCGCTACAAAATGTGTCAGCTCTTCTGTTGAGAAGTGAAAGTCAATGGGAAACATTATATTCTGCATATCGGTAAAGTGATCTGCTAAGAGGATCCCCTGAAGCCATTGCCAGTTCACCATGATAATCCACATCCAATAAACTTCTGCCCTCCAAAAAACTTTAAAATTACTTCTAAAAAGCTGTTAAAATTCAAAAGGAATTCATTTAGGTCCACCATTTGTTTCTTCAAAATGTTCTTGCAAGGTTTAAAAAGAAATCACATTGACTGCTTCTACCCACATAGTGAACTGGCAAAAGGGATACTTCAGATCCCTTAAGAGTTCATTAAAAGCCCCCCTACAGAAACATAATATTAATTTAATAATTTTAAATTTTTTTACTTAAACTATTTTAATTTCACTCAAAATGTGGCTGTTGTTTCCACCAAAAATGTGAACCGGTAAAGAGATCCTTAGTACTCATCTACCAGTTCACTAAAGAGCCAACGTTTCTAGTAACAAAGAGCAGTATAGCTACATACCCCTGTTATAAAGATTATAAAATGTGTCCCTGCTGGATTCTAGGGTAGGATTCCCCATCATGTCACTCGGTGATATAGCGGTTATCCATAGGCAATTTTGAGGTTACAAGTTGGGGAAATTATTTGGGCTAATAACATTATCCATCCATGTTATCTGTCATTGGTGATCGATTTTCTCTAACTCAAATGATGCCATATTGATTGTGGTTCATTGAATATCCACGTAATATTAATTGAATAAAAAAACAGTTTAAAGTGTATGTCCAGGCAGAACCCAAATGTACCCCCATCTTCCCCCTAGAGCAGGGGCAGGCAAACTACAGCCCTCTAGCTGTGGTTAATCTACAAATTCCATCATGCATCTGCCTCTGGAAGTCATGCCTGAAGCGGTAAGAGTCTTGCAATGCCTAATGGGATTTGTAATTGCACCACAGGAAGGCCAGAGTTTGCCTACCTCTGCTCTAGAACATGTCTCAGCATTTCTTTTTTACCTTATTCCTGCAGTAAGAAACAGCTTTTATCACTCTCTGTGACATCATTACCAGGCTCCAACATTTTTTGAAGGGACAGCTGCTGGGGGGTCAGTTCCTGCTGATTTAAGCATGCTCCCCCGGAACCCATTCCCTACACAGTGTCGGAGTAGGCTCTTTGAAGTCAAGCCAGCAACGTTTTGCTTGTAAAGAGATCAATGTATGTATGTGGATTGGGACAGAGGAGGGTGGGGAAAAGACGTTTGTAGTCCAGCAGCCTCTCACCTTATGAAGCAAGTCAACAAAAATTTACGGCCCGATCACGGTGAGAGAAAAGACAGGAGGAAATGTTTCCTTCTTTCTGGAGCAGACTCAATAAAAGACTTATGTGCTGGCAGTTATTGGGGTATTGCGATCATTGAAATTCACATTTTATACTTTCATTGTCCAGTACACCCCAATGATTGCCATCACTCATGCCCAGATGAAGAGGTAGTTGTGAGCCCCGAAAACGCATTGGCTAAATCCTCTGATCTGTTACCATAATTAAACTTTTACTGGGCTTGATAAAAACCTATGGAGCTCTCATCCTTTTACAAAGTATTTTGACCACACCAGGGACCCTTAGGGATACCCCCATTGACAGACGTACGTAGTTATTATTGGGTCCAGTGTGCCACCAACACACCTTTTGAAATGAGCGTGTTGTGACATGCCAGAATTTTAAATCATGTCGACTTGTAAAGTTACTAAAAAGTGCCCTTTGAATAAAGCAAAAATAGCACAAAATACACCTTCTCCCTTCTCACAAACAAAAAAAAAGATTTGAACTTGACAGCCCAGCATGACTGGAAAGGCAGCTCAGTGACTTGTTCATCGATAAGGACAGGGTCACATAAGACACCAAACATGTCCAGGCTGGTGATAATTGTCCTGCGTGCTGAGAGAGAACAGATAAATACGCTCGTAATTAACTCCGGGGACGCCTTAGACAGGGTAATGGTACCTTTTCTATCAATCTTCCCCTGCTCACATTTTATTGGAGAGGCGAAAGACAAGGTTCTTATAAAAATAGAACTGTCATTTTTTTCCCCCTTCAGCCTTGACTTCACAAAGATTGCACTTCGGGTAAAGAAAAAGTCTGATGATCATTAAGAAGTGTGGAATCAGGTCATATGGAGCCTGGTGTATAAACCTGTCAGATGAAATCATCATCTCAGACAAGTCAGATTCAAATCTGCACTTAATAATGACAGCTGAAGAATGACGAGATGGAAAGGGATTGGTAGGTGCAACTTGTCTGAGATTACAATTACCTCCAACAGTGTTGTACATCAGGCCTTTAAACTGCTCATCATTGATACAATTTGATTGTACAATCTTCTTATGAGAGCTTTGTAGTGCAAGGGCCTGCTTGATTAAATACACATTGAGTGGATTTTGGGTAAAATGAGAGGAGATTGTACTAAAATTGTAAAATTAAATGGTAATGTATATGGTCAAATTAAGAGATCCTCCTAAGTGATCATGCACCAAGGAAATAAAGGTGCCACATTTTTATCACTTGGTTTCTTCAAGGGAGGGACACTTATTATGAACTTTCAGGAGGAGGACATGATCGAATACTGCAATAAATCTTATAAATGGAGTCTGCCAGAGATATACAGTAAGGTGGAGGCCACAGGTGCTCCTGCAAAACTGAAATATTAGTTTTGGACAGAATTGGTTTTGACCTACTTTCTTTCCAATAGAAGGTAAGTATGTCTAAACCTCTATTGGAAAGTATGTCTGACCCCAAAAATGTTTATTTTCATGTTGGATAAAGTCAGGAACAAGTAAAATTCCTGTCATCAGTGTCGAATTTGGGGGGTTTCCTCTTCTAGAGATGCAACAGGAAGTGAGAAGAAATCCCCTCTCATACAGTTGCCACCAGAACAAGTGTCTCCAATAGAAGATCTCCCTTCCAATCTCTGTTCTGTTGATTCTTTTGAAAGAATCTAAGGTGGAAGCGACACACCTTGATATTCAAGTCCAGATACACGTATATCCCAAAAGGTAGATGTTTTACAAAGCCAACATGTTTTGGGGGCTGTAGCTCTGCCCCTTCATCATGTTGTATTCTAGCCTTAATGAAGGGGGTGAATGCATTGGCTTTGTAAACCATCTATCTTTGGAATAAACTTGTATCTGCACTTGAATATGGTGGTGTGGCTTCAATCCCAGATTCATTCATCCCTATCCCAACCCAAGGCGATTGTGGAAATGCCTTTAGTATGTAGTAGCTGCCAGCCTTATTATTTATAGCTACATTACCTCCATAATTTTGCATAAGAACTACAATATAATAAAGATAAAAACCTTAGGGTTCCGGTACCACTAATATACTTCCTCAAGAACCTCAACATTTTGGACTTTCACTCACTTTTTAATACCAATGACAACAGTCAGCAGGACAGAGAGGGTGAATCCCGTCAGCTGACACAAAGACAGAAATGAAATCCTGACAGGTGTTCTAACCCTTCCACAATCTATCCAAAACTTTACTCCTTCCACAAAAAAGCTTGCTTTTAGATACACTTTATTTTTCAGTGCTGAAGCCAATACCCATTAAAGTGTATGTCTGTAATCTACACCACCACGAAACAATTTTAAAAAAACCAATGGAACAGATTGCAGTTGCATTAGAAGAGCAATTTGTTTTTGCTGGTTCAGAACTGCTTCGCCGAGATATGATAAGGAAGAAGAATGGACACAAACCGGTAACTTACTTTGAATAACGCTGAGTCCAAAGAGATGGCAATCTTTCAACCGGAGGAGGTCACACACTTGGACCAGCAACTCTTGGCAAAGTGCTTTAACCTTCAAGAAAAAAACCCAAACCAAATATTAGGAAGCTGTTATAGCTTTATAACGGAGGAAATAAATGTACACACAGTGGATGCAACCATGAAACATTGTATGTACTTGAATTGCTTGTGGTTAATGCAAAATGTTTAAAGAAGACAATGGTCTCAAAGTATATCTAAAATGTATATCAAAGTAGATCTACAAATGTAATATATTGCAGCTTATTGGGTGCTTGGCAGCTGCATCAGTTTTCTTATTCCAGGTTAAAACTAGGGATGCACAGATACCAGTTTTTTGGTATCGAGTAGGAGTACCGATATTCTGTTTTCGGTACGCGCCGATACTGAATACCGGAAATCCCATTAGAGAAGCCGTGTAATGACTCGTTGCCCAGCTTCCTGATTAGCCGGGAAGCCACCAGGTGACAAGGAGTAGGCTTTCTGACCAATCAGGAAACGGGGGGCGGGTGATGACTCGCCGCTCAGCCTCCTGACCGACCAATCAGGAAGCCGGGTGGCTACTCATTACCTGCCCCCCGGCTTCCTGATGGGCCAGCGGGCTCCTTGCTCTCTCGTCACCAAGTGACTAGGGAGCATGGAGCAGGCTTCCCGGCCAATCAGAAAGCCAGGGGGAAGAGTCATTATGACAAAAAAAAAGTCATTATGCCCGGCGACAAAAAAAAATGTGACAGGAGTTCTAGCCTTCCCCTATGCTACTTAAGAAAAGCATTTTTATTTTTGTTGCTGTTGGAGAGATCTCCTCACTTCCTGTCTGGTAAAACATTAGCAGCACAGGAAGTCAGAGTAACTCTCTCTAATAAGCCCCAGATAGCAGTAAAGACCCAACAGGGGCTCTAACTATCCAAAACTAAGAAAAACATTGTTTGCATTTAGTTTGATGTTTGAAGGAATACTTTGGGAATGGAAGCTCATTGATAAGCAGATACTCACACTGATGATGATACTCAAAGTGTCATCGTTTGGAAGGAAGACACAAATGCTCCGCCGGTCCTGCATGGCTCTGTTGTTCTGGAAGGCGAGCTTGCTCATCGTTTTTCTGTCTTCTATGTAGGGGAGGGGGGTCAGTCCGCTGCTCCGAGCTCCATGAACTTGCCGGCGCTCTCCCACCGCTCAGAAGGCGTCATGATCTTTAATGAACGGGAGGAAGGTTCCTCACCAGTCAGTGAATCATCGCTGTAAATAGATGGAGAGTAGACATTGATCATTTATAAATGTCTGAGAACACTACACACATTGATACACAGTCAAGCAATTTATTAAGTCCCTTCCCGGCAACTGCAGTCCCTAAGTGATAGCTTATACATTGATTCTCATATAGATTACACAGTAGACACAAAACACAATATTTATGGTTTCCTACCTTAAGTTTCGGCTAATCAGGAAATGTCAAAGATCCTGAATTATTTATGGGAGGCTAAACAGCCTAAATGGAATTACACTGGTCATCTACAGGGCGTAAAAATAACTTCCAGTGTGGTTTAAAGGGCCAGCAACTTAATGTCCATCAGTCCCACTACTACAGTTCACACAAAATTTGACATCGCAGCTATGGGTGGGGACCCTGCTGGGCAAGCGCTGCTGGTTTGTAACATTTATAGTACAATCAATGTTACATTAGCTCACATTGATCATATTAAAAGCATGTTCAATTGATGTTTATTCGATTTACTTGTCCAAGATCACCTTTGTCCCCACAAGCTGGTGTGTTACTCTATATGGCCAGAAGTTTGTGGATACCTGACCATCATACCTTTATGAGCTTGAGCTGTTCGACAACCCTTAATAAAACAATGGCCATTAATAATGAGTTGGTCCTCCCCTTTGCAGCTATAACAGACCCTGCTCTTCTGGACTGGCTTTCTACATTATTATGTAGTGCGTCTGTGGGGAATTTGTGCCCATTGAGCAAAAAAGCATGTGTGAGGTCAGGTACTGATGTTAGACAAGGAGGCCTGGCTCAAAATCTATTTGATCCCAACAGTGTTTAATAAGGTCAAGGCTCTTTGAGGACCACTCAAGTTCCTCCGCACCAAACTCAATAAACCATGTCTTTATGGAGTTAGCTATGTGCACCTGAACCCAATAATTCTCTATTCGGATCACATACCCCTCCAACTTAGTGAGAAATTATGATTGGATTTATTCTTGCTGCTCGTGTTCCACCAATCAACTGCTTTTGATGGCCAGCTCTGTGGCAGCTAGAGTGAGTGAGGGGGCATTTAGCCTTTCATGGCTCACAAGATCTTGTCTTGGAAATGGAAATGGGGAACATAAGCAGTACATTGCTTTCCCCTCATGATGGATCATCTTGTGGAAAGAGTTTTCTACCAGCAAGCAAAAGTTGCCAAACCCATTTAAACAGTAGATAGAATTTCTCACCAACCATGAAAACCAGCTTCTTGGTTACCAGTGGCCATTGGTGCTCAACTTAGACCTGTAATACTGGCTACAGACTTTGGAGGAACTGCAGGCAGAATCTGTGTCAACTCCCAAGGTACAAAGTCAACTTTGCAGAGATGACAAGTTGTGAATGAAAAAGAAAGGAGGATATAGGTGAGGTGAAGCAGATGAGGCGCCCAGCTTGAGCTTATAGGACAGGGGAACTATAGTAGATAGGACAGCAGCATTATGGAGGGTCCAGGTGTGGGATTGTCACCTGATCGCGATATGCATATTCGAGCTGCTTGGTCTTTACAATTCCTTACAGAATATGTGAGCATACTAGCAGACCTATAGACTCCTGCAAGGTTAATTGAAACTTTTCGAAAGGTTGGCTTAAAAAATGAAAAACAAAAACAAACCTATTATGTTAATGTACATAAATGCCAACTATTTATCCATAGAGGTCTGTGTACCAGGGGCTAACACCAGAGAGCATGTAACAGGACCTATTGTGTTTTTATGTAAGCTGTGATTGAGGAAAACACACATTTAAATGGGCACCGAGGATAGGAGCTTGGCACTGCTGACCTACAAAGCTTTTCAGGATTACTCAGTAGGGTGACTCAATGAAGATCGCAACCAGTCAGCAATAATTTTCTTCCCTAAAGTGACCGCAGTAATCTATAATCTGGTTGCTAGAGGTGACTGCGGTTTACTCATATTCATCGCACTGCCCTATTGCATGAACCCATCAGGCTCTGCTTCCTCACAGGTTAGTCATTTAAAATGAATGATTCACTTGTCTCCCAGACAGGATATCCTAATACTCATGTTTAAAAATCACGCAGGCCATCAAGTCACCGATATTCCGTATCCGGGCCAGTCTACTTTACAGACAGATGGTCCCGGAATTCTCTCCAAAATAAACTGGTCAACTTTCTCTGTTTCCAGTAAAAGTCCCCTAATTTGAGGATTTTGCAAAGGAACAATCCCTGCGTTTTCAGCCCCAAATCAGATATGTCCTAAAATCCATGTGTTCCATCCAATTTGTATCTGATTCTTTTCAGTCTGAATCCTGACAGTTCTAAAGCATCATATTCTCCAGGAAAGTTGAGGCAGAACTCAGAAATAAGATAGAAATGAACAGCTCTTTAAAAGTACAAAACCAAATTTTGCTGCAATATTCAGCCCAATGCAGATTTTTTTTTTCTGCCATGTCTTAAGTCTGGTGGTCAGCATCATTCAACTCTCTTACTCTGAGCCCAGGTCATCAGGAGCCCACCCCCAGTCTGTGAAGGGCCAATGAAAGGAGAAGCAGCACAGTAATCAGCTCATCTGTGTCACTCTGCTCTCTTGCTATCAGCATGCTTCTTTTCAGTCCATGAACGGATTGGCCCCATGTCCTCCTTCCTCTCACACACCAGCCCTGCTGTACAGGGAATGCAAAAAGGTTAAAGTCAGGTACTTGCTTCTTGCATTTAAAACTCAAATTTGATAGGATACAATGTAGAGTAACTAAATTAAGGATACAATCTATTTGGTATAGCAACCAAATAATTAATCAGCAGATCGTTGGAGCAGAGAACACTGCGCTTCATCAGTTGGTTAATATACCGTATACATTGTATTCTCAATCTAGTCCATGTACATTGTTTCATATCCTTAAGCCCTGATTGAAGAGTACTAGCCCCCAAAACATGTTCGCTTTCCTGTAGTACCCTTCACCTGATTTTCGATTGACTATTGACTGGTGGTATGGTGCTTCAGTATTAGAGTAATTTAGAGTTTTATATCGATCGGTAAGACCTTTCTTCACTTCCTGTTTCGGCAAATGTTGGCAGCAGGACAGGAATTGAGGGTGATTATCTTTAACGGAGCCCTGGACCTGACAGGGTCATTTTTAATGATTTATCTCAAGGTGTAAATATTGCTGTATTGATTCTTTGTTTAAATAAAAGTGGAGTTTTTCTTTAAAGCAGAACTCTAGGGAAAGTTTTTGCATTGCAAGTGCTACATGCTCGTTTTTGTCTAGGATCAAAAGTAAGTAACCTCATCCTCGGAGCCTGCTTGCTCTTAGACCGGTCCCTGGAGCCTCTCTCTCCCTCCACTACAGCGTCCGTATGTCCCCTGGCATCCTCACATCCTATACACTGAAGGCAATTTATCAAAACTGGAGCAGACAAAATCTGGAGCAGCTGTGCACGGCAATCAATCAGCTTCTCTCTTTCATTTCCAAGTTCTAACTGAACAAACTGAAGAGAGAAGCTGATTGGTTGTCATGCACAGCTGCTCCAGATATTATCTGCTCCAGTTTTGATAAATTCCCCCCACGGTGTATAGAACATGATGGCTCCGCTGCAGCAGAGGGGTAGCGAGGCAGAAAGAACCGGTCTAAGAGCAAGGCGGCTCCGAGGATCAAGTGAGTATAACTATAGACAAAAACAAATACTTAACCCTTGCGCCTTTGGGGGGGTAGCCCCACTGCAAGGGTTGAGAAAAACTTTCCCCGGACCACTGCTTTAAAGGAAATTATCTTCCGATAACTTTATTTGCACTTGCACAGACCTGCACTTGAGGTGAGCGTAGGGGGGCGTACGGCCATATAGTTCCATAGAGAAGGACAGGGACTGTGTACTAATCACGCAGCACGAAGCTGTAGGTGCGGGCCGATTACAGTGTGAATGACGGCTAAAGGGCAATTTTTTTTATTATTTGGCGAGGTCTCACACACAATAAGCACCCGATATCACAAACAATATCCTCCAACACCTACAAGTACCCCTCGCATAGGAATAAACATGAACGACTGTACAGCAATTGTTTCAGAATATCTCCAGCAGCCGGATTGTATACGCATGGCCGGTCACGATCTACTGTCTGAAGATACCTTTGCAGCCGCATGTGAGCTCACCAAGAGTTTATTGCCAAGAATGTCTACATGGAACAATAGCCATGGAAAATATAGAAGCACAGCACCCCTCTTGCCTGCTACCTTTTATAATAAAATCACAGCATAACATAGCACTCTTTATCTTTTTTTTATTATTATGTATAATTATATTTTATAGTCTTCTGGAAAAAAAAAGCGCCACTTGGGCAGCGATTTCATGTGAAAACATGGCTTGAAAATGACTGTTTTATGAACAGTGCAGTCAGCCCAGTTCGTGAAACACAAGCGGCCGTAACATCTGCTCCACACACAAAGGACCAAAATAATCATTCACATACATCGTTAGCAGGATTTGACTAATTGACTGCTAGACTAGTTATTCGCTTACAAATCTTTCCACGGATTGCACAGATGCCAACATTGCAAAATAGATTCCAGGGACAACACGCTTCTCGTATATCGAGTGTGTAATGACTAATGCAGAAAATTGTGAATCGCTATATACTCAGCTATGTGATGATTTTTAGTACTTCAAAGTGCAGCTAAAGCCAATTTTTTTCTTTTTAGTTTTGTATGGAGTGGAGAGGGATTAGAACACTTGTCAGGTTTATATTGCGGTCTGTGTACCCGTTATGGAGATTCACCTCCTCTATTTATCCTGGTGACCGTTATCATTGAGCATGAAAGAAAATCCCAAATTCTGGGTTATCACCAGAACAGGAATAGATGGGAAATCTTCCAATGGGGACCCTAGTTTTAGAGACCCTGTGGCCACCATTATTTTCCCGCCCTTTGGAGGGGTTTCCTCTCACTTCCTGCAATTTATGAAGCCCAAAACATGTTTGGATTCCAAAAAAATCTAGGGATACATCTACGGGTGTATCTTCTTGTGCTGTTCCTG